GTGATCACTGTGTCAGAGGCATCGCTTGGTGTTTCTTGAGAAGCAGGCACATGGCGCCGTGAGGAGTAGGCACGCGGAGTTCTTATTCCCAGGGACGGGTGGGGAAACGGGGATCCCAGGAGGGCAAGTGACATGCTCAGGGTCACACAGCAGCTCAGGACATGAGCCTGGAGGACCAGCTTCCCCTGACAGGCTCTCTGAATGAGAGGAGACTCTGGGTCTGGAGGCACAGCTTCTCAGTTGTGGGGGGGGGGGGCCCTGGATCCCGGCACTGTTCCATTTTAGAAATGAAAATGAAGAAGATGAGGCTCAAATGTTAAACAGCACTGCCCAACATCTATAGCTTGTCGGGGGCAGATCCAGAATTCAAGCCCGGGTCCATCTTGACCCCACGGCTTCTCTCCCCGCCGCCCACCAGCATCTGCCCCTGGCTGCCTGAGCCACATTCCATAAGGTGGGACCTGTTGGCAGGCTTCCTTTAGGCCCTGACATACCGAGTTCTGCTGTCCGCCCAACACCAAGCATGGCTCTTCCTGTCCTCACATGAGGTCGGTGAGTAAATGGCTGAAATAACCCAAAGAAGAAGTAAAGAAAAACTGGTGATTATTTGCAAGATTGTCTTAAGGTCACAGGAAGAGTGTTAAAGTGGATGGTGAGCTCCTATAGCTCCTCCTCCTCCTGCCCCCAAGTCACCTGCTTAACATGTCCTGCCCTCTCCCCGCCCCTAATGCACAGCTGCTGTCCCCCCTTCCAGAGCTCCACATTTGCTGTGAATGATGCCAACAGGTTAAAGAGACAGTTGGAAGGACCCTCTTGACCTCTTTAGTTTCAACCTCTTGCTTTAGCAGGGAAAACTTAGTTTTGAGTATCTGCACCCAGACAATTCCAGCCCTCTACAAACCCTCTCTTCTCTCCCTCATGTGACTTGTGCTTGGTTCACGATTCTGTGCAGAGACAGCTCTGGTTCCATCGTGAGCCAGTGTGGCTCTGAATTCTGGCTGTGCAACCACACAGTACCATTTCAAACAGTACTACTTCCTTCTTCCTAGAGAGGCCCCCCGCTTCCTGGCAGGAATGTATAAAGAGTGCCCTCTAGTGCCTGAGAACAGTACTAGGCTCTTAGCTGAGAAGCCAGGATCCGAGAACACCCCACAGGGGCTCCACATTTTGTCATGCAAATTATATACCTGAAGTTTCAAGTTTTAAAAAGGCAGCCTGGTGGGGATGGATAGGGACTTTCTGGAGAAAGAAAAGTTTTGTTGGGAGAGTTGGGAGTTGGGCCCATTGACTCAGTTGCTGGTGTAGAGTCTGGCAGAAATCCCCACCTTGCCAGGGCGTCTCAACCCCCAGGAGGCCTCCCAGAAAGCAGGACTGAAGTGAAACAAGTATGGGCAGTTTTGCTGAGCCCCAGCGATGAGAGCACAGAGGTGGGCACCTCCAAGCCAGATGTGGGGGGGACAACCTCGGAAGGCTTCCTGAAGGAGTGATCCCAAGCTGATCGAAAAGGGCGAGGATCAAAGGAAGCTCATGTTGTCCCTGGCACTTTTATTTACTTACTCATTCATTCAACAGCTACTTGGTCATCCACTCTGTGCCGAACACGGGAGATATGCCAGTGAACAAAAAAGATGAAACCACCCACCCTCATGGAGCTCTAGTGATGGCCAGGACGATGGTGGGGGTGGGAAATAAAATAGAAGAGTTAGCCCATCTGATTGTGATATGTGGTGTGGAAAAAGGCAAAGCAAGGAAGGTGGACAGAGGGTGCTCCCTAATATCATCCATGTTTTACATCCAGGCAGGCTGCATCAGGAGCCTGTGCTCCCAGATGCCTGCTCTACTTTGGCCTGGACAGTGGCCAACTGCAGCCCGAGGAGGGCACAGGGAGGGCGCTCCAGGCAGAGGGCACAGCCTATGCAAAGGCCTGTGGTTGCCGGAGGAGGAGAGGGTTGCTGGAGTCCAGGGAGAGAGGAGAGGGCACACTGAAGGCAGAGCCGGGGGTGCGGCAGCTGTAGGGGAGGGTGTTCAGAGCCGACGGGGATTTGGAGTCCCCCGGCTTTGGTGCTGGGCTGGCTGCATGGGAGGCATGAAGAAAGAGGAAGAGGGTGTTAGGGCTGAGCGCCAGGCCTTCGATCTGGACACCGGGGTGGCAGTGCTGAGGTGGGCACCCAAGAGAAGTGCGGGCAGAGGTGGGGGACAGAAGGGGCTGGCTTCCAGGGAGCTTTCACGTGGGGTCCGAGCCCTGCCTCTCTGTCTACCCGAGCCCAGAATCCCAGGTCCCAGTGCTTGTATGGGGCCGGGCTCCCGCAGGGTTACAGCTGAGCAGTTCTGCGGAGGGGCCGGGAGGGGCTCCCGCCTGGCCCCAGCTCGCCGGGCCCCCAGCTGAGCTGTAAATGACTTTTCCATTTTCCGAGACCTGCGCCCAGGCCTGTTTGGTATTCAGGATCACCAGGCCCACACTCGCCAGCTCTCGGCTCTGCCCGAATTACTTGATTAAAACGCATATCAACTATTATGTGATTCGTTTCTCTGCCGCAGCTCGAGCAGGGCCTATGTTAAACTGTAATAAAGACCTGGTTAGGAGGCAGCAGGGAGGGGGAGTGCAGGAGTGGGGGGGGGCGTCGCTGGGGGGGGTGCGGGGGTGCACTGAGAGAAGGACCCCAAACCTCAAGGCCCCCGCTGGCTTCCTCAGATCTAGGAGGCCAGGGCTCCTGCCTTCTGAGACACTTCATTTCAAGTGTCTTCCTCTGGCCAGAGGGAGAGCAGGGAAAGTTTGGGGGCGGGGATGGAGAACAAGCTCCCTGGGTCCCCCCCCCCGCCCCCCCCGCTCAGAAATGGAATTCTCCACCACCTGGCAATACTCTGTGGCAAAGGTGACTCTCGCTGGGCTGTGAGTCCTGAGTCCTGGGTTTTCTTCCCAGCCTCGCTGCCCCAGGACTCCACTGATCATCTGTAAAATGGGGCTAATACTGCCTGCTCTGTCCTCCAGGGTTTTTGGGAGAGACTGTGGTGGAACAGGGACAGAGCTTGTAAACTGTAGGGTGAGGTTCACATGCATTGGGTGATGACTATTGCTGTGTGTCCGAGTTCAAAAGGCACTTTGTAATTGTTCTGCCAAGCCCTATTCATCTAAGAAGCCGTTATTGAGCCCCTGCTGTGTGCTGGGCACAGTCTCTGCTCCATTAGGGGATCTCCCAGTCCGATGGGACCGAGAGACCCAGAAACAGGCAGTTTTGGGGTACCCTGATGAGCTTTGAGAGCCCATGAAGGGGCACGGAGACCGGCGTGGACGCACTCAGGAAGCCTTGCTGGGGGAAGCCCCCCACAAACTGGGATGAGCAGGAGGGAGCCCAGTGGAAGGGGGTGAGGCATTCCAAGCAGAGGAAGCTCACGGTTAAAGGCAGGGAGGTGTGAGACAGTCTGGTTCGGTCACTTAAGGATGCCAAGAGCTGGCCAGGGAAGCTGGTGGAGTGACGGGCTCGTCCACCCACGTGGTGGGTGGGGCAGCACCTAAGAGGTGCTCTACTGATGCTCTGGTGAACAAATGAACGACAGAACACAGAAGTGCTTCCAGGAATTCCAAAGATGGAGATGGGAGGGGAAGGGGAGAGAAATTGAAGGCAAAGAGGAAAGAGAAAGAAGGCAAGAATGGGAGGAAAATAATCTCTGACAGCTTGCTTCATCTTTCCTTCTCCCTTCCTTGGTCTCCTCTTCTGGCTCTCCTCCGTGCTCCCCACAGTCCCCCAGGGGCCACAGAGGGTGCAGCTCCAGAGCCCTGACTAGGCCATTCCTTGCTAGCATTCCCTCTGCTGGACCAAGATGGGAAAGAGGCACAAGATCGATGGGGTTGAGAAGCCAGTTCAGTCCCCAGGGCGTCTTCAGTTCTGATGCCAAGGAGCTTGATCAAGCCCTTCCTGCAACCACCCTGGCCTGGACCTGGCCTGATAACCCCATCCGAGGCTGAGAAGTAAGCTGGCTCCAGACTCCTGGGCTCTCTCTGCACAGGAAGCAATGGCCTTCATCCACTCCTAGACTCCAGGGTGGGGATTAGTGGGGACTATCAGGTAGGGGCCATGGCCACTCCTAAGGTCATCAGGTAAGGTCTCCTCTTCCAGCCTCGAAGGTTACTCAGAGATCCTGAAACACCCCAGGAAGGGCCTGTGTGCAGAAGTCACAAGTCCAAACCCTTCATGTTACAAGCAGGGAAACTGAGGCCCAAGGAAGGAAGGTAGCCTTCCTAGGGTCACAGTTCTGGGCATTTAGGGGTGCAGCAAAATCTGGAGTCTCAGCTTCCTGGCTGCCAGCCCTAAGCACACGCATGTGCTCTCTGTCTCCCTCCCTCCCTTTCTTCTGGCCTTCCTCCTTTCCTTAGTTTTTGCAATATTTTCCCCAAATTCAATAGCATCGGTGTTTAAATGGTCATTTAAAAAATACTAACTATAAACAAATGTAAAGAAAAAGAAAAAAAAAACAATAGCTCTGTCACCCTGAAGGCTAATGTTTGTTCGTCTTTTGGGTATAGTGTTCCATAATGTGTCATGCTTCCTTTCCCATAAGTGGGATCGATCTTTGCACACTGGTTTATACCTCGCCTTTTTCTTACAGTTAGGTGTATGGAGATACAGTTCATGCACAGCAAAACTCTTTCATTTTGGAGAATATAGTTCTAGAAAATTTTAGCAAATGTATTTCATCATGAAACTACTCTGAGTCCTATGTCAGGGACATCATTCCGTGTCAGTGGACCTAACCTAAATGCCCAACAATAGGGGATTGAAAAACAAAACAGTCATGCCCTAAAGTATTGAACCAATCCCCTAAGGCTGGGCATGGAGGTTGCTTCACACCCTTCGCTCTGGTAAACAGTGCTGTGGGAGACATGCTCCTTGTGCTCAGGAGGGATCTGTATGTTGATGCAGCAATGGGTGGGAGGGTGGGTACAAAGCAGCCCACCGTCTCCCTGGGCCCCCACCCTCTCCTTCCCTCTCGCCCGGCTGTAGGGAACCGGCTGGACGAGGGCTCGGACGTGGAGTCAGAACCCGACCTCCCTCTGAAGCGCAAGCAGCGTCGTAGTCGGACCACATTCACGGCTGAGCAGCTGGAGGAGTTGGAGAAGGCCTTTGAGAGGACTCACTACCCGGACATCTACACCCGCGAGGAGCTGGCGCAGAGGACCAAGCTGACTGAGGCGCGGGTCCAGGTGAGGCGGCGCCTTGGGTGTTTGCCCTGCGGGCATATTGAAGAGGCGGGAATGGAGAAGGGGGGAGGTGGCCAGCGTCCCAGGGTTTAGTGGGCCCCAAGAGGGGTCTGCAGCGGGTGGTCCAGGGACCGTGTAGACAAGGAATGCCACTGGCACTTGATGCGGAGTAAGTGGGCAGCAAGTGGTGCTTGACTGACTGAGCAAGGGGTGGACAGCCCCGGGGCAGCCAGGATGTGCAGTGAGGCCAGCTGGATGGCACTTATCCCTCCAGGGATGAGCCAGGAGAGAGGGCTTGGGATGCATAAAACGGCTCCAAATCTCCGGTGAGGGGAGGAAGTGATTAGGAGGAAAATTCCTGAAAAGCCTAGCTTCTTAAGATAGGTAAGAGTTTCCTGATACAGGCAGCATGCAAGCACAGGGCGCAGGCATGTTCCTGGTGGGTTAGAAGCATCAGAGGGAGGGTGGGCAGACCTCGAACACTCCCTCCACGCCCTCGAGTGTGCGGTTCCTCATCAGCGGGGGGCTGGGGGCAGGGAGTGTGGAGAAGGAGCAGAGCCTGGGCTTGGCCGGCCCCTCACCTGCCCCCCTGGCCAGCAGCGGCGGAGGGAACAGCCCTCTCTCCCCAGGTGGAGAAGGAAGGCAGAGGGTCGTGCTGTGTATCTCCTGTGGGAACCCCTTCCCGGCCTGTCTTCTCCACAAGCGAGGGAGGTGGGTCGGTAGGAAGGGCCCCCCCAAACTGCTCACTGGGGACTCCCAGCTGAGGGGAACCAGCCTTTGCTGGACACCCACTTTGTTCCCGCCAGAACGCTCAGGCCTTCTCACACATGACCTGGTGGAACCTCAGGCCTCCTTGTCAGGCAGGTCACCTCCGGGCAGGCCACAGGGGCAGAAACAGGCTCAGAGAAGCGACATGCCCAGGGGCACAGAGCTCAGCTGGGGCTGAGCTGGGCCGGGAACTCAGGAATAAGTTGACTCAGAGCCTGGGATGTGACAGCAATAGGGAAAGTTCTAGAAACAAGCTGGCATGTAAGCGCTCCAGGAGCCAGCGTACCTCCCTCCACCCTCCCCACCCCCACTCCTGGAGTGGGGGGTCCGTGGTTGCCTTGGAGGGAGACCCCCAGGGGAAGGGGCAGGCGGCAGCAGCCAGCTCATCTCATCCCCACCCCTCCTCTCCAGGCTGATACCCGAGCCTGCCCTCGCCTCCGGGCCTCCCTCCCCCTGCTCTGATCCTCCTGCAGCTGTTCTCCTGGGCACATTCCTGGGTGCTTTCTCATTCCCACGTCTGGCGGCCACGGCTGCTTCCCACCACCTTGAAGCCTGACCGCTCCTTGTAAAATTTCCTGGCTGTCAGGGCAATGCTTTTATTGGCCCAGGGGACCCAGAAACAGGTGTCACTCAAGGTCCAAGGAGGGAGGGGGGCTGGGAACAGGGGGAGCAGCCAGAGCCTAGGCAAACCCATAGCGAGGGGGCCCAGGCAGACCTCTTGCACATGCTGACTCCTCTGTCATCCTTTGGGCTCCCCCAGGGCAGTGAGTCTCCCCAACTCTAGTCTGAGAACTTAGCTTGATCCCAGCAGGGGAGGGGTCTGTATATGTTGAGTTTGAAAAGAATGAACAAAGGCTGACCCCCCAAAAATCAAGACAAGAATGATAGAACATTTGACCTGGAGAAGAGATTTGGAAGATGGAGCTAAGAGGCCCCAGAGGGTGGGGACTGGGAGCCACAGTCCTGGGTTTCCATTGGTCTCTGGCTCTGATCAGCTGGATCACCTTCAACAGATCAGTTTCCCTTCCTAAGACTTAGTTTCCCATCTACAAGTAAAGGAAAGGAACTAAGTGATCACTAAGCTTCTTAAAGTTCTAGGATCCTTACTTATTGACAATCAGAGCTGCACTGTGAGGTGATGAGATCCCCATTACTGGCATTCAAGCCAAACTACAAAGTCCAGTCGATCAGAAACCCTGGTGAAAGTGCTCCTGCTGTGAAGAGTAGAGCAGGGAGCTCAAAGCCTCCTGAGCACTGCTCCAATTCTATGGTGTTGGGGTCTCGGGTCTCTGTTTCTAAGAGTCTGTGGTTCTGGGATTTTGCAGTCCTAAGACATGTCATCTCAGTGGCCCCAGGGAGATGATGGGAGCGGGCTCAGAGCCAAATGTGAGGTCCAGCTCCAGCATGTACACCTCCGGCCTTAATTTCCACATCTGCAAAGCAGAGATGGCAGTAACAGCTGCCCCCCCCCCCGCCTTGTTCTAAGTGTTCCATGCTTACATGTGAAAAAAAGCACACACTCAAGGTTAGGTAGCACCATAAGTGGGGTACATTCTTATTAAACTGCACCTGTTCTTGGTGGTTCCAATTCTGGCCACCCTGGAAACTCCTGGTGCATTCATCCGCCACTCACTTATTGAGCACCTACTCTGTGCGGGATGCTGTTCTTGGCCCTGGGGATTCAGCAGACAGAAATCTCTGCTGTCATGGAGCTGATATCCCAGGAAACGAGGAAACAGGAACACGTGTCAGGTGGGGTTCTAGTAACTCAAGTGCGTTCCCTCCCTTGGGCTCTGCTCCAGCCCGGCTTTCAAAGCCTACAGGTGTTACATGGCATCCCTGATGTCTGGGGGAGACACCCCCGTCTCAGCTGGCAGCAATCCACCAGGAAGTGTGGGAAAGGGGATCAAGCAGGAGGACACATGCCTGGGGACCAATAACTTCCTCTGGAAGAACCTTCATTTTTAAATAGCTAGGGGCCAACCGTGCATCTTCCTTGGAGGTAAACGGATCTGATTCTTTCCGTAATGGTAGATCATGTTTATGGTGCACTTCTTATGTGCCAGGCATGACGTGCTGTGTTCTACGTACATTATCTTTATCATCCTCCCCATAATCCTAGGAGGTAGGTACGGTTAGTCTCTCCCTTTCCAGGTGAGAAACCTGAGCTTTAGCTAAGGGCAGAAATTTCCTGAAGACACAGTTACTAAGCAGCAGTGCTGGGACTTGAACCCAAGTCTGCCTGTCCCATTCTTTTCTTCTGTGCTCCATTGAGAGAGGGGCCAGATGGATTATTCAGCTCGGTAAACAGCTGCTTCCTGCAGCGTCCTGCTCCCAGTGCGAGGTGTTGAGGGAAGGATCAAGAATGGATACTAAAACTCAGCCTCTGCTCTCAAAGAACGCAGCCCCGATCAGGGATTCTGGGTGGGTGCTGGGGCTACCCCTGTCCCTGCTGGAGCCTCCATTCCCCACCTGTGAATGGGCAGCTTGCTCTTTCAGCTGAGCCATCAGAGGCTTTCCAGCAGGATGATAGTTGTAGATGTTGCTCTAAGCACTTTGCCGGTGCGAACTCATTTGAGGTCCAGAACCACCGGAGGGGGGTGCCATTATTAGGCACAAAGAAACAAAGACACAGAGGGATAAGGGAATTTGCCCATCTTAGCTAGGAGTTGGAGGCAGGATTCAAGCCTAGGCTGTCGGGCTCCAGAGTCCCTGCTCTTAATCATCCGGTTACACTTTGTGAGCAGGGAGGTGCCTGCTAGGATGGAGACATCCCTAGGAAAACGGAACAATAGAGGAAGAAGAGGTGAGAGAATTGATAGCAAAGGGCGTGTCATCTCCTCCAGGAAGTCCTCCCAGATTCTGAGAAGTAAAGGTGGAAGCCTGTCCTCAGACCTCCTCCCAGCACCTGTATGTCCCCTGCGCTTACCACCCTGGGAAACAGGCATTCTTTGCCTTGTCTGTCGTGTGCCTAGGCGGAGGGCAGCTTGAAGGAAGGCTAGGACTGTCCCCTTTAGCTCTCTATCCTTAGCATCTCGCTTGGCACAGAGCAGAGTCCCAGCAAAGGTTTGAGGGGAGAAGGAGGGACGGAGAAGGAAAAGACAGGGAAGGTTAGATGGGAAAGAATGTTTCCAACTTTCTTGAGTATTCCTTATTCGAGGAAAGGGTGACTCCCAGCTAATGGACAGCGACAGCACGCCACACGGGAGCAGCGGGTCCCACACCTAAGTCGTCCTCCAGCCAGCTTCGAGATTGCTGCCACATATGCAGATTACCCATATTGTTATTCACTCCTAAAATAAAATCAATATATTTTAAAATAAAAGCGTCTACCACTGTCACATAAGGAAGGCCTTTGGAAACACACACCAGGGAAGACCAAACAACACAATGGAGGTCCAGCAGGAGAACAGCACATGCAGGGGCTCCCCTCTGTGTGTTAAAAAGGGACTAAGGCCTCATCAGCACCAAGCCCAGACCTTGTCTTCCACACGCCCAGAAGGCCTGGAGGACAAGTAAAGTGGTTCAGGGCTCTTTAAGGTTTGTGTCGCTGCCGACTGGGATGTCCCTCCAGCGTGGGGTGCTAGGAGACCCACCCTTTGGGGAGCACGGAATGGAAACAAACATGAGCCCCCCACCCTCTCCCAGAAGCAGGGAGTGAGGAGACACTGCCCACTCCTCGCCAGTGTAGAAGCCCCTTGGTCCGACGGGTGGCATCCATCCCACCAGGATGCCCCTGGGGAGGCCCTCAGCGCCCTGGGGAGTGGAGAGAAGCTGGGACCTTAATTTTGATCCAGAGCCCGTTTTCACTCCTGATCTGACTGCCTCATCCCCTTTCTCCGTACGTCCTAAACACGTCAGGGGCAGCTATTCTGTTCATCTGGCCCGATGGAAAGCTAAACATAGCTTCTCTCCTCCAGAAGGATCCGGAAAACAAAAGAAGACACCAGGGACACATAAACACCCCCCTTCCCTCCATCCAGCTGAGACTGCCCTCCCCCATGTCTGCAGACTTGGTCTACAGGTTGGGGAGTCTTAAGTGATCCTGTGCCAGGAGCGGTCACCCATCCCACCGCATGGGCGGGGGGCAGGCGGAGCTCACGAGGAAGCTGGAGGCCTCTGGAGAGGAGGCAGGACCTGCCTGAACTTGCCTTAGATCCAGTGATGAGGGAATCAGAGAGGAGGCATTGCAGCTGAGCCTGCTGGTCGAGGAGTCAGCTGCAGGAAGAGGGTCTGGGTTAGAGGGAACAGCATGTGCAAAGCCCACCTGAAGTAGCCCCTGTGTCCCACACTCATTCTCCTTTTCGGGCCCAGAACTCATTGCAAATCCAGACAGGTGAGTTCTAGAAGGTCACACTGATTTAAGTTAGAACCTCAGCTTCATTACGGCTATAGCTGTGTGGCCTTGGGCAAATTATTTGACCTGTGTGAGCCTCAGTTTCCCCTTCTGTGAAATGGGAATAGTAGGACATGTCTCATGGGTCTCCATATGGGCGTGAAGCACTAGCACAGGGCTTGGATCAGAGGAAGACTCAAATGTGTTAAGTTATTTTTCCACGGATGCTTAATAAACGCGCGCGTGTGTGTGAGGTGGGTTCTTCTGATCAAGGGGGCCCATGCTGGCTAAGCAAAGTTTAGCAAAGCCAAGCCTCTGGCTCCGGACAAAGGACTGGTTCTCACATCTGCCTCTGGCAGGTGGGTCTCATTCAGGCAGGTTCCCCTCATGGGGCTTCCTGGGGGGGAGCGTGTGTTAGAACAAGGATGGTCACCCACGTGTGCATCCACCGGGGCAGGAGCAGCTGTAATGGAAAAACACTGCACCCAGAGTCACCCAGACCTGTCTGTGCCTCCAGCTCACCTTGTCATGTGAGCAAGTCACCCGCTGTCTCTGCATCTCCGTTTGCTCATCTGTAAAATGGGGATAACAGTGATCATCCCCTCACTGGGTGGTGGTGAGGGCAGGATGGGATCACGCCCACGGAAGTGCTCTGCTCGCTGTCCCGAGCTGCAGGAAGGTGGGGATCTCCTCCCACGGAGGAGGATCCTGGCTGGACAGAGGGTGATGGCTTGGGGACCAGTTCTAGCTGTGTCTCCTCTCTCCACCCGGAGCTGGGCTGAGGGCTCTCCACTCTCCGCTCTCCACCCCTAGGTCTGGTTCAGTAACCGCCGCGCCCGTTGGCGTAAGCAGGCAGGAGCCAACCAGCTTGCAGCGTTCAACCACCTTCTGCCAGGGGGCTTCCCGCCCACCGGCATGCCCACGCTGCCCCCCTACCAGCTGCCGGACTCCACCTACCCCACCACCACCATCTCCCAAGGTGAGCGCGCAAGCCTACCCGGGTACCTCAACCACACCCTTTCATCCCCCCCACTTCCCAGTGCTCCCTTCCTTAACCAAGAAGGAATCATAAGAGCTATTTTTTAAAGATTTTATTTATTTATATAAGAGAGAGAAAGAGCAAGAGCAGGGGGAGGGTCAGGGGAAGAAGCAGACTCCCCGATGAACGCAGAGCCCTATGTGGGGCTCAAAGCAGGGCTCGATGCAGGGCTCGATCCCAGGACCCTGAGATCATGACCTGAGCCCAAGTCAGACGCTCAGCCAACTGAGCCACCCAGGCGCCCCAGAGCTATGTTTTTAAGTGACCATTTGTCTATTTGCATATGGATAGACGATTAAGACAAAAAAAAGTTTTTGCCATTGAACTTCTTTGTTCTGCCAACAGACCACAGAGCATCCAGGTGAGGATGCACAACATAGCCTCCCTGCACACCTTTAGAACAGAGCTTCTCAAATTGTAAAGTCATGTGCATCTCCTGCAGTCTTATTAAAATGCCGAAGTGACATACAAGGCTACCCCCCTCCCTGGACCTTCCCTCCATTCTGCCCTTCTCCCACACTCTCCCCCACCCAGCACACATGAGCAATCCCACTACTTGACATCTGACTCATGAAGTCCCCGTGGCTCCCTCTTAAAGGGCTGGCAGGCTGGAGTTCTGGAGAGGCAGGAGACCCTCCCTATGATTCTTGATGAAAAATTGAGGACCATCCCATTCTCTGCAAGGCTGCATGGAGGAGCCCTGGCAAACAGAACAACAACCCCACAGCCAGGAACAGAAATGGCAGCTCAAACCCTGGCCCCACCACTCACTAGCTTTGTCACCTTGCACAAGTGCTCCGACCCTTCCAAGGCTCGGTTTCTTCATCTATAACGTGGGAATCGTATTCTTGCCTCATACCCTTAGCCAGTAGTTGTAAAGGCACCTGGCAAGTGGTTGGTGCCCACAAAATGCCATCGGGACAGGCCTGGGTAGATTAACAGAGTCCCCAGCAAGGTCTGACTTTGAGTCCAGATGACATTTATCAAGCACCTACTGTGTGCCAAACACTGAGCCACATGGCTGGTTCACAGTTGCTTTGAGGTTACGTGGAATGTTATTTAGCTGTCAGTCAAGACTTGGCTAGTCCCTAGTGCCCTGCCCAGAAGCCAGCTCGTCCCATCCTGAGTGGTGACAGTAGGTGGTCTCTCCTTCCGCTGGATGGAGACTGGGAGGAGGGTCCTGGCTCGTTTTCCAAGCAGGTGCTTCTTTCCCTGCGCTGGGACGCCCACCATCTGGGCTGGGGCCACTTGCTCAGGCCCTCTTGTGGGTCTCTCCACAGATGGGGGCAGCACCGTGCACCGGCCCCAGCCTCTCCCACCGTCCACCATGCACCAGGGGGGGCTGGCTGCGGCCGCCGCAGCCGCCGACACCAGCTCTGCCTACGGAGCCCGCCACAGTTTCTCCAGCTACTCGGACAGCTTCATGAACCCGGCGGCATCCTCCAACCACATGAACCCCGTCAGCAACGGCCTGTCTCCCCAGGTAGGTGGCCTCACTGGACCCGTGTCCAGGAAACCACGGGCTCTTGGGTATCTTGAGAGAGTTACAGTGCCCAGTGGGGATGCTTCTTCCACTTTCACTGGTCAGTATTCTGGGATCCTTCGCCCTCGGTTTATGCTCTTCAAGCTGCAGGTCTGGGTGACCCAGCAGGCAGATATGGAGAAAGGGTTCTGTCCACCAGAAACACACAGACACCGTATTATAGATGTGCTCCGGGCCTGAAAGCCCCCCAGAGCTTATGAAAGTGGCCCCCCACCCACCTCATGGCTGTTCGGTCCATAAAAGTCGGGCATCTTCAGACAGCGTGTGGGCGGAAGCCTTGTACCATTTCCTACGGGATGCTGACTGTGGTTTGGGCTTTGTTCTAGAACCAGGAGTCCTTCCTGGATGCCATCCTGTGCTCCATCTCTTGCCTTTCCCCAGGAGTGACCTATGAGTGAGAGGCAGGACCACATCCGATTTGTAGCGAGAAACACGGCTGAGGTTCTAGACTGGGAACTCTGCTCCCATTGGGACTTGGAGCGCATTCACTCACGTGCGATTGGTTGCTGGCAAAGTCCCTCGTTCCCTGCCTCTGCTGTTAGAAGGCGTGGGGCCACCCTAGATCAAGTCAGAAAGACAGTGCTGAGGCTGATGGCAGTGACTGGTGGGTCTGGGGAGCAGGACGTGCTGATACTGGTCACCTTGAGGGTTCCTTTCTGTGGCTACAGCAGGCTCTCAGATATCCATGGAGGAAAGAATTAAATCCAAGGCTGGCTTCACCCTGCCTCCCACCTTCTGAGTGGCCTCTCTCATGACTGTGGGAACACACATGGCATGTGTGTTCATTTCTGAACAGCCGTGGTTCAGGAGGAAAGGTGGAGGCTTGCAGGGGCTTGAATCCCAGCTCCAGTGCTCAGGGCATTGGGAAGTTAGCATCTCTGAGCCTCAGTTTATCCCCCATTGAACTAAAGAGTGATGAAACCAGGTGTTGCTGATCTCCTAAGAAGGGTGTTCTAACTGGCCAAAGCCTTAGCACTGAGCATGGCACAAAATAGAGGCCAAAAATACATTAGTCCTCTTGCCAACCGCCCTCCCCGCCGCCACCCACCATCACCAGGACGATACAATTAGTATGAGAAACCTGTTACTTGAAGAAAAAAGGGGGCCAAAGGGGAGGTCAGCCATATCCATCTCGCTTCCTGTTTTTGTCAGTAAAGCTTTATTGGCACATAGCCATGCCCATTTATTTACGTATTTATGGCTGCTTCAGGGCTACAACACCAGAGCTGAGAAATTTCAAAACAGACCACATGGCCCACAAGGCAAATAATATTTGCCATCTGGCCCTTACAGAAAAAAAATTGCTAACCCCCGGTCTAAGACCTTCTCAAGAATGTTCATTTTCTGTGTGGTTTGGGTTCATCCCTGTTTGCCTCTGTTAATGAGTGTGGTTGACAGCTGAGTGCATTTTTGTGTCATCATTTATTTATGGGTAAGATCCCTTCCCCTCTCTCTGCCTTGATTTTTCCGACCCATGAAATGGGGATGACACTAGCATCTATCTCAGGGGGTTGTTGAGGAAGGTATGAGCTGATGCGCATAAAACACTTAGCCCAGGTCTGGGGCAGAGCTGAGCTCTGGGGAACTCAAGCAGCTCCATGCAGAGCTCTTAATGGTGATGCACCAAGGCCTGTTGGGCCCACGTTATGGGGCGGGGGTGATGCAGCCTGCAGACCAGAATGCTTACCCGCTGGAACCTAGTTGGCCTCTTTGGGGTTCAAGGCCTTGGCTTTGGTACTGAGGACAAACTGGCTGAGCTAACCTTCCAGAGAGTCAAGAGACAGGCAGGACAGGATCCCAGAGGTGGCCGGGTGACTGTGGCAGCAGAAACCCGAGGTCACCACACCTGAAGATGTGGTCCAGGCCTGGCCTCACAGTACGAAACAGGTTAGAGGAGCATCACTTGGAAATCTGAAGAGGGACGTTAAGATTATATGGGCCAGCCTTCTCACTTTATGGGATGGGGGCCGGGGACACATTGGCTGGGCCAGAGCCAGGAGTCTAGGGCACCTGGCTCTCTGACTACTGTTCCTCGTAGCCCGCTGTCTCAGCGTGGGCTGAGGTTTCTCCCCAACATGACAGTTTTGTCACGGGGCAGAGGAGAGACAAGCCAGTAAGGGGACCTTGGCTTCTGGAGCGTGGCTCGGCAATGGGATAACGGGTGAGGATGCCCATGCACTGTGTGGGCCCAGAAACAAGCCTCAGGGAAGGAGGAGAGAGAAAAAACAAAACAAAACAAAACAGCCATTACTGTAAGCAGCCAGTAGCCCAACCTTCTCCCCGCCTGAGCTGGATCCTCACCTCTCCTCCCAGAGACCCTTGCTTGGGAGGCTTCCTCCCTGCACTTCAGGCGGAGAGGCTATGAGGACATGATGGATTGGGCCAACTCGGGAGACTTGCCCAGAGGTTCCCACCGAAGGTGTGAAGACAGATGGAGGGTCTGACAGGGGCAGAGGGGACCAGGAGGTGAACAGCTGCCGGCAGGGAGAGGGGGCTGCACACAAGGAGGACAGGAGGGCAGGCTGTGTGTGCTTCTGTCCGTGTGAACTGCCGGGCTTCAGCTTGGATCACTTCTGGAGGAAGAGGGCAGCAAGTGGGTGTTTCTGGGTCTGTACAAAAGTTCCTGGTATTTGTGAGTCCTGGGACGCCCCCTCCTCCCTCTGAGCAGGCCAACTGCACGTCTTGGGCACATCTCCGCGGTTTCGGGAGGGGTGGGGGGTGGCGTTCTCCACCAGGACGGATCCCCTTCCCTGGGTCCTGTCCCCCCAACAGCAGGGCGGTTGTCTGGAGCTCACATGGGCTCAAGAGGGATGGGGTGGGCTCCGTCTGGGATGGGACTTCCCCTCCCCCCAGACTGCAGGTCCCCACCACTGCCACCCAGATAGCCTTGGCCCTTGTTCTTACAAAAGCCCAAGGGGATTCTGTTCGGGGATGACATTGGGGCTCTGCTGAGCACCTGCTCATCACACTGGCCAGTTTGGTGCTGCCTGCAGTGGTGCCCCCTCATGGGGCCAGACCCGGGTCCTTGTCTCAGACCCAGCCTGGGAAGTGGGGGCTGTCAAGCCTCAGAGATTCCACGGAGAGCCTGCCCAGCAGAATCCCATGGAAAAGCCATTTATTCAGCTCTGCCCTGGACCCTGGCTCTCACAGAACAAATAGTTACGGAGTGCCTGCTATGTGCCAGGCACTGTTCTAGGCCCTGGGGATAAATCAGTGAACGTAAGGGATGGAGACCCCCTGCCCTAGGGCAGCCAGCAGTTTAACGGGACAGACAGACAATACATAATAATTAACAGCAAATTCACGGAATGTGTCTGATACCTCTTTGACAAGGACAGCTAAACTGTCGAGCCCCTGTGACTCGGACCCTGTTCTGAGTGTTTCCTATACCCTCACTACTTGGGCGGCAAACCCAGGATTAAGCCTTCCTCTCTGGAGCCTAGAATGGTAACTGCCCTCCTGCCTCAGAAATGTGCACACTTACCCTCTTTTTTGGAGATTGGCAGCAAGAAGAAATCCTCTCCCCCTTCAGCTCGGAGGAGGGGAAAGTTCATTCAACCCATGTCTTGGATGAGAAGACTGAGGCCAGGGCCTCAGGTCAGGGGCCACTGGGGAGAGTTGAGTCACATGGGCAGAAAAGCCTCTGAGAGGTTCAGACACCAATGAGGCTTGGTTCCCTCGTAGCCCCGCCCCTCAACCACCTGCCAAGCCCAGCTTTACAAGATCAGGGACTCAGCGCTCAGCACACGGACATCCCCAGCTTTGTGCCTGGGGTCCTTCTGAAGAGGTACAAGGAAAACCAACACAGTTGACCCTTGAACAACATGGGGATTAGGGATGCCCCACGTCCCCACACCATTGAAAATCCACGTGTAAGTTTTGACTCCCCCCAAAACTTTGCTAATAACCTGCTCTTGCCCTGAAGCCTTACTGAGAATGTAAAGTGCGTCAACACCTATTTTGTAGGTTCTATTTCTTCTATACTGTGTTCTTACAAGAAAGTGAGCTAGAGATGTTACTAAGAAAAGTATAAGGAAGAGAAAACACATTTGCAGTGCTGTGCTGTATTTACTGAAATACAGCACCTAGGACAGCACCTGGCACATAGTAGGCACCCCAAAACTCTTATGTGAGAGCTGGGGTCCAGGGCAGAGTGTATTCAGTGCACCCACGCAGTTCAAGCCCATGTTGTTCAAGGGTCAGTGTACTGCCCATGAGACATCAGGAACTAGGATTCGCAGACCCCCTAGGCTGAGGTCCTTGGAAACAACTCTTAGAAAACAACTCAGGACAACTTAGGGCAAGAGGAACCTTTTGTGGTGTGAACGTGAACGACAGCGAGCAATCTGATGCCTGCTATGGCAGGGCACGCTGGTACGGGGAGTGGGCAGGGATACAAAGGGGCCACCTATGTATAGGTCCCTTAGGATACCTGCCCTTGGGAATTCCCCAGTCTGATGGGGGAGACACGGCGCCTGCCTTGAGGGGCTCCTGGTCTGAGAGAGGAAGGACTCCCCTCCCGTCCTCAGGAGCTCACAGTCAGAAGCAGAAAAAACTCTGTCCTTAGATGCCCTAGGGCGACGGTAGAAGCCAATGCTGTCCTGGAGAGCTCCCAGTTTGAGGGGACACAGGCTCAGAAAGTCATTCACGGCAGCTCACCATCCAGAGTCCCGAAGAAAGAATCAGGAGCGCAGTTCTGTCCTTTGGCTGAAGGCTACGGGCAGGGTGCCCTGTGCTGGGGGCTTCTTTGGGGTCCTTGTGGGTGTGTCCCCAGGGCGGGAGGACCCACCCTTGGCTTGAGCTTCCTTCTCCCCCTGTCTTTTTAGATGCAGATTCTATCAGAGTTGGAAGTGGAAACTGAGGCCCAAGACAGGGGGAAAAAATTGCTCCAAATCCTAGTCGGGTTAGCGGCAGGGCTGGGACCAGCCCCCAGAGCCCCA